TGCGAATACACTGCATTTACATACACCGAACCGATATGATAACACCCCTCACTATTACTAATTATAGAATTAACTAACACTTATTACTTCGTCGCTTAACATTCATATGTTATCATGATCCTAAGCAAGAAAAACCTGCATTTAGCGAGACAATGCAACAGCCATCATAAAAACAGTCTATAAAAGGTTAAAACGACAAATTAGTAGTCATGCGTGAGAAAACTGATCTCCAAAATTAGAACATGAGATCTGTACAAACGTATAATCAACGTTAAGATTTGCCTTCGGTTTATTTACCAGTAAACCATACATTGCGTTTACACTACGTTCCTGGTATATGTAAAAGTTAAATATCGTATGATTGATTTACTAAGTAATTAAGGTAGAGGTCAAATATCGTATGATTGATTTATGAAGTAATTAAGGTAGGAATCGAATATCATATGATAAATGAAATCCAATATCGTATGATAAATTATAATGTAATTAGTTTGAATCAAATGTAGAGTATATAAAGCGTGTGAGAAAAATAAAAAAAGATTTACCTTTTGCTTTCGATCAAACAAAATACTAGCGCTAGTGTAATAACCAGTAAAAACATACAATTGTGTATTGAGACGTTGGTGAATTCCTTTATTCGCAATAAAATATTATTCTGTAATTTTGACGTTAACTATATCCATAATTGAAAAATGCCGGTCAAGGCAAATCTTAAGTTCTGATGAGAAATTGTATGTATATAATATTCTTCTGGATTGTTAAATATACCTTAATATTATAATTTATTTCTCTAACAACACTTTAAGTCATATATTTCTTTTTCAGGAAGAGAATTCAGAGAGACTTCACGGATACTTTGATGATGAACTATGGCAGAATATTTTCTTAGAGATTCGTACACAATACCCTCACGTTGATATTCCAGAACGTGTACTTGATTTATGTGGAACAATTGTAAATATGAAAATTTTCATGAAAAACAAAAGATATCTTCGACGCATTGTGATTTAATATCTAAACTATTATACAGATTCAAGCCACATCCCACCAACAGGATCTCGATAGTGGAGAGCCCATATAAAAATTAATTTTAAAAGTTACAAGACTGATGAAAATATAGTTGACGTCAAAATTACTGAATTACGGCAAATATGTATTATCTTACGATATTTTCACATTTATCTATACTATTATTCGTGGCAATTAATGCGTAATTGTGCAATGCGAAATTGCAAAGTTCTGTAGATTAATTTTGATGTCAACTATAACGGAGAATTTAAAGAAATAATATATTGCCGGTAAGCTTTATGAAGGTCGCACACTGGAGTAGAATCGCCACCCAAAAAAAAATTTCAAAACTATTTCGAAATAAAATTAGTGCTACTAGGTTATGATTAGGTCTTGCCACTAAATTAGGATTCGAAAATTTATACACCAAAATTTGCAAGGAAAATTTTTTACTAATACGCAGAAGTAGGGTTGTTAATGGAGTGGCATACTCCGGAGCAGCTTCGGAGTGAACCCAACCCAAGTTGGAGTTGGTTAAAGATATACTGGAATAAAACTGGAATAAACTGGAGCAACTATAAGCAAATCTGGAGTGGCTCCAGAGTGAGTCCAACCCAAGTTGGAGTGGGATGAGGAATAACTCAACCCACCCCAACCCAACCCATTAACAACCCTACGCAGAAGGCTCTTTCATAGACTAAATTTTGAGTTATGAGCG